TTTTTTTTTTTTTTTTTTTTTTTATGGTTTTATTGTTACGGTTTTTGTTACACGTTCTTTCATGCATGTAATCATGTAAATTCAAATTAAAAAACAAAATTAAAATAGAAGAGAGTTTTACCCTCTTATAAAGAATGTTTCGGAGTCCAGCGTCCTTGTTGGCATATCGCCTTGTGTCTTGAACTTTCCCGTTGGCATATTTTCCCATGTCTAGCTCTGATGTCATTTATAACAACCCAAGCCCACCGCTAGCCGATATTGTCCTCTTTGGAATTTTCCTTCCAAGCTTTCCTTCAAAATTTTAAAACGCGTCGGTTAGAAAGATGTTGCCACACATTTATAAATAATGTTTCGTTCTCCTTCTCAACGATGTGGGATCTCACAATATTAGAGTTGTGTTGAGATGGGAAAATCTTTTGGATTTGGGTTGGTTAGATTGATGGCTCGATTAACCTAAATACAACTTACAACCGAACCCCAAATTGGGTTGAGGCTGGGTTGACGGATTTTTTTAAATTATTTTAAAAAATTTTGTTTCTTCACCGGACATATTACATTAATAACTAAAATTTCATAAATTTAAAATATCAAACATTTACAAGCCACAATTATCAATAATAAAAAAAACGTCAAATATTTTTGGTCTAAAAAAATTTAACTTCAACAGTAAAAAGAAAATTATAATTCAACCCGACCATTATTATATTATTATTTATACGAGGGGTTTTTTTAATTAATTTCCAGAGCTATTACAATGTGTACGGCGGAGCAACTGCACAGTACCCCATGTACGGCACCGGTCCCGGCGGCATATTGAGTGGAGCAGCGGCGGCCGCAGCCGCATTCTACCCTTATTTCCAATTCGGGGAAGGAAGCGGCGGCGGAGCTAATGGCTTCACCGGCGGTTCCGGGCAGCAGGGGTATGGCGTTCAGTACCCTCACCACCTGTTGCAGTACTCGGCGGCCCTTAATTCAACTCCAACAACGTTCCCTCAGCACTATGCCGCTCCTCCTATGTCTCTGCCTCCCACGCCACCCACTTTGCCATCAGGTTCGTCTCTCCGCTCTCGTCTCATTCGATTAGTTTAAAACAATTATATTCATCTTCGTAAATAAAAATAAAATAAATAAAATAATTATCAAACGAACTAATGGTTAAGAATATTTAGCCTTCTATTATAGTTTAGATTAAAAATGAAGCTATGATATGTTAAGAATGAGAAACTCTGATACTATATTAAGAATAATGTTCTGATACCATGTTAATAATGAGAAGCTCTGATACCATGTTAAGAGGTATCATAAGAATGATGCTCATGCTCTTATACCATGTTAAAAATGAGAAGCTCTGATATCATGCTAAGAATGTTGCTCTGATACCATGTGAAGAATGATACTCTGATACCATGTTAAGAATGAGAAACAAAAGTGAGATTGAAAGTTCGAGAAATATTAGATGGAATCGAAAGTCCAAGAAAGTGGGAATCTATGATTGAAAGTCCAAGAAAGTGGGATCGAAAGTACGGTGAAATAAGAGAAAATATTCTACTAATGAAATCCCGAAGATAAGATAAATAGTTTATCATAATTACATATTTGACCTTTTATCATATTTACCCTCCTTTCCATTTACTCGGTAATTTATTTGATGATTATAAATAGATAATTTTCACCACCGTTTAGGTGGGGTAGTTTTAGCAAATATTCTCACTAATATCTTTGTATCTTTGACAGTGTTTTTCGCTATTCCACAGGCGTGACGATGGCTCTTCCTACACCAATCCCACATCGCTAAACGTCCTCAAATTTCCTCCGAAACGAAAAATCGCAAGCCCTAACCATGGTTCCATCTCTTTCTCTCTTCACTCTTTTGCCCAATGGTCAGCCCTCCGTCGGGGTTGAGCCAACCAACCATAGCTAACCTCACCAAAATCATGCATTATTTTTTTTTTTATCAAAAGTGGTTCTTAGGCCATGAAGGGACTTGGCCCTAAGTTGGCTAATTATGCACATAGCTACCTTTTAATCTTTGATAGCCTAAGGAAGGCTACAAGGATAGACCAAAAAAAACATTTTTCCAAAGGAAAAAAAAAACCCATTTCAAAAAGCTAATATTTTTCTCATTATTGTAATTAAATTTCAATTAGGAGTAATCACAACATGCTGCTTCTGTGAAGATCAGTGAATAGCTCCTGAACTCATCAGGATTAGCGATAGGGTTAAGAATATGTAGCGTTTTTGTTGCTATTATTACAAATTAATTAACTTGGTCTAATCAACCAACCCATTTCAAAATATTCCCCATGGGTTTGGGGAATGGTAATGAAACCCTTTTATTAATCAACTCTTAAGCACATTATTAGTTATTTCTTGTAATTAAACTTCACAAACAATGGTGGCTCAACTTATGGGAGTTATAGCCATGTTTATTTTTGGTAAAGGTTTTGCATTTAGGTCCCATAATTAGGAGTTAATTAGGATAGGATTAAGCATTCCATGATTTTGAGACTCCATTAATGGATATTGGAGGTCTCAAAATAAGCATTTTGCATGTGAGCCCTTGGGAGATATTTGGGTTCCCTTTGGCTTGTTCTTTCACTAACCCTAAACCAACCATGGTTAGGACTTAGGTCAACTTCATTTCTGTCTTCAATATTCCCATTTTACCCTCCTCTCTATCATCCATCCCAATCACCAATGTGTATGTGTGTTCAAGGGCTTTCTCGTCATGGAGTTGGTGGACCTTGGAAGCACTGTTTTTCATTGATTATGTCTGTAAAAGAAGAGCCTTTGTTCATGTCTTCTTATGGTTTGTAATGTAATTAGATACTCTATTACCCTTTCTTTATATCAAGACTTCTGCCTAAGATTTGGTTCTTCATTAGCTGCTTGAAGAATAACCTACGTACCTCAATATGAATTGCTTCTTTCTTTCTCTCAATTTCTTGATTTCTTGATTTCTTGATTTGATTTGATGTTGGGTGTTTGAAAGTATGTGTTTTTTCATTCAAAATACTTTATTCTAAAACGTTTTTAAGACTAGACTCTCAAGTTTAGAACACTTTAGTCTTCAATTTAATTCCTTTTGAATTTGAAACTTTAGAACTCAAATTTGAGACTTCTTTTATGTTGAGAATTGTTGGGAGAAGAGTCCTACATCGGCTAATTAAGGGGTTGATCGTGGGTTTATAAATAAGAAATGCTATCTCCATTGGTATGAGAAATTTTGGGGAAACCAAAAGTAAAGTCACGAGAGCTTATGCTCAAAGTGGACAATATCAATGAAGGGTCGTAGTTTCTAACATGGTATTAGAGTCATGCCCTTAACTTAGCCATGTCAATAGAATCCTTAAATGTCGAACAAAAAAGTTGTTAGCCTTGAAGGTGTAGTCAAAGTGACTCAAGTGTCGAACAAAGGATGGACTTTTGTTTGAGGGCTCCAAAGAAGGAGTTGAGTCTCAATTAAGAGGGAAGCTATTCGAGAGCTCCATAGGCCTCAGGAGAGGGTCTATGGTGTAATTTGTTCGAGAGGAGGATTGTTGAGGATTGTTGGGAGAGGAGTCCCACATCGGCTAATTCAGGGGTTGATCATAGATCTATAAGTAAAGAATACTATCTCCATTAGTATGAGGTTTTTTAGGAAACCAAAAGTAAAGCCATGAGAGCTTATTCTCAAAGTGGACAATATCATACAATTGTGGAAGGTCGTGGTTTTCTAACATGGTATCAAAGTCATGCCTTTAACTTAGGCATGTCAATAGAATCCTCAAATGTCGAACAAAGAAGTTGTGAGCCTCAAAGGTGTAGTCAAAAGTGAGTCAAGTGTCGAGGGCTCAAGAGAAGGAGTAAAGCCTCGATTAAGGAGGGGGGGGGGGTTGTTCGAGAGCTCCATAGACCTCAGAAGAGGCTTTATGTGTACTTTGTTCGAGAAGTTGTAAGCCTAGAATCTGTAGTCAAAAGTGACTCAAATGTCGAACAAATGATGTACTTTGTTCGAGGGCTCTAGTAAAGGAGTCGAGCCTCGATTAAGGGGGAGGTTGTTCGAGGGTTCCATAGGTCTCAGGAGAGGCTCTATGGTATACTTTATTCAAGAATAGAATTGTTAAGGATTTTTGGAAGAGGAGTCCCAGATCGGCTAATTAAGGGGGTTGATCATGGGTTTATAAGTAATGAATACTATCTTCATTGATACGAGACATTTTGGAGAAACCAAAAGCAAAACCATGAAAGCTCATACTTAAAGTGAACGATATCATCCCATTGTGGAGAGTCGTAATTCTTAATACTTTCTCCATTAACAGCAACAACCATAATTAGTTTGAGTCGTTTCTTCATGACTCTATTGATGGGGAAGGGAATGAAAATGAAACACAACCATTAAATTATAAGATTCTTTGTTTTAGAAGCACGTATTGTTCCAAAAACACATCCAACCAGTTGTGATTTGTGACCTTTTTGACTTTGAGAGTTAGAGGCCCACCTTAAAGATAAAAAAGTGAAAAAGGTAACCCTCTTCTTCTAGACAGACCTCTAAGACCATTAATTATTTGACTCTCTCCCTTGTCCGTTTCTCCTGGTTCTACCGATGAATCATTAAACTTGACTTGTACTCGAGCCAATTTAGAAAATTTATTAGTGATTCCTTCATCAAATACACGTAAAAGAAATTAAAAAATTTAGTGCTTAAAGTTCTTTATTACAAAAAAAAAGTTCTGGACTCCTCTCAAAGTTAGTTTTTTTCTACTTCGATTATTCATTTTGATGTGGGTTGATCAAGGGTCAAAACCAACATCTCCGACTCTAATATTTTAACTTAAAGTGAAATCTGCGAGGGGTTTTATTTGTATTCTTCTTTTAATAATATAGTTCCAAATGATATGGAATCAACCTAACGGAAAGCTCTAATGCCAAATGATAAGGAATCACTACAAGAAGAGTAAGATTCAGATTACCTTGTTGATCAAATATCTTAAAGCAAGAACACTTGTTTGAGATTCGAATCACTTCACAAGCAAAATTGATCATGTCTAGCTAGAACGATTCTTGTTGATCAAATATCTGAAGGCAAGAACAGTTGTTTGAGATTCGAATCACTCCACAACCAAGATGGATCATGTCGAGCTTGAATGATTCTACCTGCAACCTAATCTACATAAAATTGCAAAGAAACTTAGTCATTGGCTGAAAAAGAGCACAAATGCTCATTTTATTATATTTTCCAAGTCTCCTTACAAATACAACATACATGACTCTATATAACCTCAAAATGAAACTCTTGACTGTACACGACACATTTCAAGAGTCTGTAACATTCATACTTTATAAAAAGTCTTAAAATACATTAATGAAATACAGTAAATCTAAATTATTCTAAATGGTAATCTACCCAAAATTTATAACAATGAAACTTCATTATTTTTTAACGTAGCATAAATTGAAATATCTTTTAATAATTTCAACAACATTTTCTTCACATCTTCATTGAAGTATGTTGTATGATTGATGTCTGTTCGTTCATATCAGAATAGCATGAAAGAGTAAGAGTTTATAAGATTATGTTTAAATTTGTGGTTTTGGGAGAGAATATTTAGACTATTTGTGGAGGATGATAGATTGTTTGATTGAAGGTAAATAAAGTTTGCTATTATCAACTTCATTTATTTTCATTATCTCATTTCCATGCCTTATAATGATTCACTGTGATTGCTTCAAGATCAATTCATTATAATTGCGAAAAAAAATTTCGTTCTAGGGTTGAGTATATAGGAAAAAGAATCGATTTTGAATGGCTTCGAAAGTGACATGTTATCTAATTATCAAATGGAAATGTATGATATTTCGTATTTCTATAATCTAATGTTTGTTTTATATGATATTTTTAATCGTAGGTTTGAATCCTAATTTTATATATTCCGCCAATTTTTACTAATAACGATATTAGAAAAGACCAATATAATTTAAGAGTTTTGAATAATGAATGCGTAAAATACCAATGAAACTATTTTATGTTCGAACTATCAATTAGGAACCATTTAGAGGATATTCTTAATAACAAAAATATGGGATCATAGTGACTTGTCTCTTAATTAAGGATTGATATCGGCCACCAATCCCCTCTTAGATGAAATGGAATGAGATCTGATTCTTGTAGAAGGTAATACGAATAATGAATTCCTTATCCAAAGTTTGAAACATTGTACAAGTTTCATCGTTAATCGAACTAGTTTTCTAGGCTTGCAACTAAATCCTTGATTGCAACAAGGGATAAATATTATCGGTAGCATATGTACATGTTTTTCGAACATACATATAAGAGGCTAAATATCAAACCAACCACAACTAAATACCAAATGAAGTCCCATTATAAAAAGAAGAAATGAGTTTGGGAAACAATTACAAAATGAAATACAAAAGACTCAAATACAAAGATGAACTGACACTTTGAAATGACCTCTTTGTCATTGTAGGGTCTCGAACGCTCTTCCACCTCAGGCGACAGTCTGTGAACACCTAAAAAGAAAGAAGAAAGGGGTGAGTATAAAAATACTTAGTAAGCAACCTATTTGCAAGCTCTCATTGCATCCTTAAACTAGTAGGTATTTACCGGCTTTACTCTGAACTCTATAAAGTTTAGGCCTAGTCTCTACTACTATATGGGCATTTGGGGTGCCTCGAAGTTTTGAGTGGTATTTTAGCTACTCATAGACCCATTCTGGGTATGGAGGAAATGTTCGTTGTTTGAAGTCCTAGTCCGCCTATGTGAGATGACTGTACCACATTTGAATGCATTGAAGAATTAATCTACCTAATGCTCACAACTAAACTCCCCTAGCCGACTAAGCTAGATAGCAGTCGGAGCTCCTGAGCTAGGAAAAACACACCTTCAACGTAAGCCGAAGACGAGCTGCGGCTACGAATCGATTGACACGCACACCACACGTGGGGGAGGAGATGTGGCTAAGTCTCAGGTCGACACATGGGTATTGGGTCAACTAGCACTGGTTGGGCCCTTGATACTCGTGGGCTTAAGGATATTTAGTAATAAATTATACTTTCCCGTATATATTATATTTGATATTTTATTATAAGGCAAATATTCTTATTACTATAGATATCTTTCCATTTATTGTTATTTCCATTTATTACTATTTCCATATCCTTGTAATTTATTTGATTATAAATAAGATAACTTTCACACCATTTAGGTGTGGTGGATTAATCAAACATTCACATGGTATCAGAGCCATTTTGGTTTAGCAACCCGGATTCTTTCTTTTCAATGGCTTTTGAAATCTTCTACTGTTCTTCTCCACCACCACTGTTGGCTTTGACGCCGCAGGGGCAGTCGTCATGGCTGCCACATGCAGAGCCGATTGATTATTCTTCGGCTCCACCCTTTTGACCTCCAAATCATCCTTCGCCATACTCTGTACATACAACCTCACCTTTTCCAAACATAGCCTCTTTCATTTTCTTCCCAATTTTCCCTTCATCCTTCATCCTTCACAAAAACCCTAATCTTAGGATCTTCATCAGCATTCCTCTTCGAAAATATACAGAATCTCAATAAGCCCATCGACCTTCTGTAGAGATTTACCTTTGGAATCTGGGCGCCGCACTGGCATCTTCGCCAACCAAGTTGCCGCCGCCCTTCTCGCCAAAATTGGCTCCTTCACCCCAATGTGGCGACTCTTCCAGCTGCCCTTCTCGCCAAAATTGGCTCCTTCGCCCAATGTGGCGACTCTTTCGGCTTCAACATTGTCTTTGTCCCTTGCTCTAGGTTTCCCCTTCTACTTCTTGGGGTTAGACATATTCTCACCAGAGCCAAGGCAGCATCGTCGCTAAGCGACAATCCCTCTTCATGGGTTAGACATATTCTCGCCGAAGCCAAGGCAGCATCGCCGCTAAGCAGCAATCCCTCTGCAATTTTCGATG